CCTGCACCGACGCTGGCGCGTAAGCGTCCCGCGCAAGGTCGCGCGTGAGCGCCCTCGTTTCCAGTGCGGCGTGCCGCGCTGGCGGCCCGCGCAAGCCACCGCGTAATGTCGCCACGGAAACTCGCGTAAGTCCCGCTTATTTCCGTCGCTCACATGGGGGAGCTCCAGAAAGTACGGCAGGTTCGCGTCGTGTCGACTCGCCGCGACCCCGCCGCGAGCGTTCAAGGTTGAGCGGCGCAAGTGGCCCAGAATCGGCCATTTTGGGGCGATCTGGCGATCGGGAAGCCGCCGATCGTTCAAGGTTGAACGATCCAACGCGGTGTCAGAAACCATAGTCGAGGCCGTCACGACACGGACCTGCCGTACGTCGCCTTCGAGGACCGATGGGGGGCCTGCCGTGTCTTCGGCGGAGGGCGCCGCCGGCAGCCGGGCGGAAGCGAGGCGGGGGCCGGCTCCGCTGGCGGAGGCCTGGCGGAGGACCGGCGGAAGGAGCAGCTGCACCCCGCCGAGATGTCAGCCACGCGCAGAGGGGGGGAGGTGTGAGGGGGGGCCAAGGGGAGGGGAGGGCGTCGGGGCGGCAGGCGGGGGGGCGGGGGGGGCCGGGGGTGGGGGAGGGGCGGGGTTGGGGCAGGGGGGCAGGGGATGGCAGGGTTGGGAGCAGGAGGGGCGGGGGGAGGAGGGGGGGCGAAGTCCCCGGTCCTTCCCCCGACCGGTGCTGCCAGTCGGCGGCGCGCACGAGGAGTAGGGAGAGGGTGGAAGGCCTCTCAGAAGCACCCCCTGCTTCTAGGAAGCCTCTCCCCCTCCCCCTACGCCCTCCCCCCCTCCTGCGCATGGCCGAAGCTTTGGCAGCATCTTTGATCTCGGGGCTTCGGGAAGCCGCCGCGTGCCGATCTGGCCCGAGCCGATCTGCCGACCTCGGCGCTGGCCGATCCCGCGCAGGGTGGCGGAGGACGCGTCCCTCGGGCTCGCCGGGGAGACGAGCGACGGGGGCGGCGGGTGCGCCGGTGGCCGGGCGGTGGCGAAAGCGCTGTCGGAGGAGGAGGCGGAGGCGGAGGCGGAGAAGGAGGAGGCGGCGGAGGCGGAGGAGGAGGAGGAGGAGGAGGAGGAGGAGGAGGAGGAGGCGGAGGGGGAGGCGGAGGAGGAGGAGGAGGAGGAGGAGGAGGAGGAGGAGGAGGAGGAGGAGGAGGAAGAGGAGGCGGAGGCGGAGGAGGAAGAGGAGGCGGAGGCGGAGGAGGAGGAGGAGGAGGAGGAGGAGGAGGAGGAAGACCTCCTGCCGCGTCCCGCGGTGTCGTTCGAGGTTCGAGGCTGGCGTCGAAGAAGGAAGCACGTCGCGCCAGGGATGGGGGTCCAGCGCGGATCCACGGAATCCTCGCGGGCCTCCAACGGTTCATGTTTGTTGTGCCAGTCTTTGGTTCTTTCATTATGGGCGTTGCTGTGAATGCCCGAAGGTTTTCCAGCCTCCTGGTGCTCTCCAGCAGCTGCGCTTCGACGAGGCGGTTTTGGGGGTTAGCAGCTGCGCCTCGCCGAGAGCTTAGTTGGGGTGCCTGGATCTCCCCGAGCTAATGCTGAAAGTCTCGAGTTATGGCCCGAAAATCCGACCTCCTCACATTGTGCAAACAGCGCGACGTAGTTTGTTGTTGTTGTTGATGCTGTTGCTGTCGCTGTTGCTGCTGTTGTTGTTGTCGTTGTTGTTGTTGCTGCTTTTGTTGTTGCTGTAGCAATAGTAGTAGTAGTAGTAGTAGTAGTAGTAGTAGTAGTAGTAGTAGTAGTAGTAGTAGTAGTAGTAGTAGTAGTAGTAGTCGTAGTAGTAGTAGTAGTAGCAGTAGTAGTAGTAGTAGTAGGAGGAGTTGTTGTTGTTGGTTGTTGTTGTTGTTGTTGTAGTTGTTGTTGTTGTTGTGGTCGTCGTTGTTGTTGTTGTTGTTGTTTTCGTTGTGGTGGTGGTGGTGGTGGTTGGTGTTGTTGTTGCTGTTGCTGTTGCTGTTGCTGTTGCTGTTGTTGTTGTTGTTGTTGTTGTTGTTGGAAAAGGCGTGCGGGGGAGCCCCGGCCGCCCCCCCCCCCCACAAGCAACCGAGCAACCGAGCAACACTCTCTGGGGGTCTCCTGGGGGGGGCGCCAAGGATTCCCTAATAGGATTTCCTAGGAAGTCTATAGGCTCCCATAGGAATTCTATAGACCTCCCTAGGAATTCTATAGGCCCCCATCGGAATTCTATAGGCCTCCATAGGAATTCTACAGGCCCCCATGGGAATTCTATAGGCCTCCACCGGAATTCGATGGGCCTCCATAGGAATTCTATAGGTCTCCATAGGAATACTACATAAGCCCCCATAGAAATTTTATCGGCCTCCATCCGAATTTTATCGGTCTCCATAGGAATTCTATAGGCCTCCGTAGTAATTCTATAACCCCCGTCGTCGTCGTCGCCGTCGCCGTCGTCGCCGTCGTCGTCGCCGCCGTCGTCGTTGTCGTCGTCGTCGTCGGTTTCGTCGCCCCGCCACCGCGCGCCACCTGGCGTGCCCGCCCAGTGGGAGGGGCAGGGAGATAGAGGGACATTAGCGGGGCGGAGGACGAGGCCGCCGACGACTACAATGACAATGATAATGATGGTGATGATGACGACGACGATGATGATGATGAGGATGTGGATGAGGATGCTGATGATGATGAGGATGATGATGAGGATGGTGATGATGAGGATGACGTGGATGAGGATGATGATGACGATGATGATGATGATGATGACGACGACGACTACGATGATGACGATGGTGATGATGACGACGATGATGATGATGATGGGGATGGTGATGATGAGGACGACGTGGATGAGGATGATGACGATGATGGTGGTGATGAGTAAGACGAGGTGGACGATGATGCTGATGATGAGTAAGACGAGGTGGACGATGAGTAAGACGAGGTGGATGATGATGAGTAAGACGAGGTACAGTCTGTATCGGATCTGTATAGGATCCCATACAGTCTGTATTGGATCTCTACAGGATCCTATACAGTCTGTATCGGATCTCTATTGGGCCCCATACAGTCTGTATCGGATCTGTATAGGATCTTATACAGTCTGTATCGGATCTCTACAGGATCCCATACAGTCTGTATCGGATCTGTATAGGATCCTATACAGTCTGTATCGGATATCTACAGGATCCCATACAGTCTGTATCGGATCTGTATAGGATCCTATACAGTCTGTATCGGATCTCTACAGGATCCCATACACTCTGTATCAGATCTGTATAGGATCCCATACAGTCTGTATCGGATCTCTACAGGATCCCATACAGTCTGTATCGGATCTCTACAGGATCCCATACAGTCTGTATCGGATCTATCTAATATCGTATACAAACTGTTTCGGATCTCTACAGGATCCCATACAGTCTGTATCGGATCTATATAGGATCCTATACAGACTGTATCGGATCTCTACAGGATCCCATACAGTCTGTATCGGATCTGTATGGGATCCGATACAGTCTGTATTGGATCTCTACAGGATCCCATACAGTCTGTATCGGATCTGTATAGGATCCCATACAGTCTGTATCGGATCTCTACAGGATCCCATACAGTCTGTATCGGATCTGTATAGGATCCCATTCAGTCTGTATCGGATCTGTATAGGATCCTATACAGTCTGTATCGGATCTCTACAGGATCCCATACAGTCTGTGTCGGATCTGTATTGAAACGGCGGCACGCCGGCACGCACACGTTTTTCACCCATAGGACCACGTCAAGGTCCGTAAGGGAGTCCAAGGGAGTTCCAGTTTTTTGTTTTGTTTTTTTTGTTGCTGGTTGCTGTTGCTGTTGCCTGGGGTGGGTCAGAATGCGCCCACGGGGCTCTGAACGCAGCCTTCACAATAAGGCGAGGGCGGGTCTGGACGGCTAGAGCTCACGGGGCTCCCACGCACGCCTTCTCCTTGTTGTTGAACATTATTACTTCTAAAGAATAATTATTGTTGGGGCCCCTGGTGCACGACCCCCCCGCCGCGCCTAGGCCGCAGCCTCATTTTCATCATTTTCGTGAGGAAGTCTCAGGCAAAACGGGGGAGTCCGGATCCGGTTGTGTTGTTACGATCGGTTTTCCCTTGCAAAAAATAAGCTAAAGTGGACATTTCTTGTTCTAACATAACCAAACTTCAAGAATCCCTTGCAAAAAATAAGGTAAAGTGGACATTCGCGCGCGCAAGACGAAATCCTTCCAAAACCTTAGTTTTCGTAGCGATTTTAACATAAAAACATCAAAAAAACATTTTTTTTTTTTTTTTTTTTTTTTTTTTTTTTTTTTTTTTTTTTTTTTTTAAAAAAAAAAAAAAAGTCAAAATTTCATCCCGCGCGCTCTTGCGGATTCGTAGGAAACCCAACACTTTTTAAACATTTCTGTCAAACGGGCTTTTGCGAGCAACTTTTTCGAACTTCTGCAACAACGGTTGCGCACCTGCCAGGGCCATCATCCCTGTCAAATAATACCATGCGGGACACATTCGTTTTTTCTTCGCGCGCGCACGCCGTCGTCGTCGGCCGCGGGGCCCTGAATAGTAGCCACGGTCGTCCGCATGCCACGAAGTGAAGTGTCCGAACGTCATAGGGCGGGAAGCTGGGTGTGGGTGGTGGCGAAGAGTCGTTTGGAAATTTGGTAGAGCTTGAACCGGCCCCCCCACAAAGTGGGGGTATTGCCCGCCTCCTATGAAAACCCTGGCACTGGTGAGAACGGAGTGTCCCCACGTGCTAGTAATTGTTGTTGTTGTTGAACATTATTACTTCTAAAGAATAATTATTGTTGGGACCCCTGGTGCACGACCCCCCTCCAAAACCTAGGCCGCAGCCTCATTTCCTTCATTTTCTAGCGAAAGCTTCAGAAAAGTGGATTGGTACCGGATCCGGTTGTTTTGTTGACGCTCGTTTTCCCTTGCAAAAAACACTATAAAATGAAAATTCTTGTTCTTACTTGATCAAATTGCAAGAATCCCTTGCAAAAAATAAGGTAAAGTGGACATTCGTGCGCGCAAGACGAAATCCTTCCAAAACCTTAGGTTTCGTAGCGATTTTAACATAAAAACATCAAAAACCCAATGGTTTTTTAAGAAAAAATTGTCAAAATGTCCTTCCGCGCGCGCTGTCCGAATCCCACAAAACCAATGGTTTTTCAACATTTATGTTACATGAGCTCGCGCGAGCTACTTTTTCTTGTTCTAACATAATCAAATTTCAATAATCCCTTGCAAAAAATAAGGTAAAGTGGACATTCGCGCGCGCAAGACGAAATCCTTCCAGAACCTTAGGTTTCGTAACGATTTCAACATAAAAACATCAAAAACCCAATGGTTTTTCAAAAAAAATGTCCAAATTTCATCCCGCGCGCGCTGTCCGACTCCCACAAAACCAATGGTTTTTCAACATTTATGTTACATGAGCTCGCGCGAGCTACTTTTTCTTGTTCTAACATAATCAAATTTCAATACTCCCTTGCAAAAAAAAGTAAAGTGGACATTCGCGCGCGCAAGACCAACAAAAAACACGACGATCTCAGGAACTTGCCCCAAAAATGTGACCAACTCCGCTCTCTCTGTCTCTCTCTCTGTCTGCTCTCTGTCTCTCTCTCTGTCTGTCTGTGTCATGTATTGTATGTCACAATTGCAGGATGCTGGGCACACGCGCGCCCCGAATAAGTGACCAAGTTCTGTGGGTGTGTACCCCACGCCAGTGTAGTAGCCACGGTCGTCCGCACGCCACGAAGTGAAGTGTCCCAACGTCATAGGGCGGGAAGCTGGGTTTGGGTGGTCGCGAAGAGTCGTTTGGATATTTGGTAGAGCTTGAACTGCCCCCCCACGAAGTGGGGGTATTGTCTCGCGTCGCATGAAAACCCTGGCACTGGTGAGAACACTGAGCGTTCGGGTAAAATGATTGTTGTTGTTGTTGTTGTTGTTGTTATTGTTGTTCGAAGGAACCCTACCTGTGGACCCCGTCGCGTGGTCTTTTGCCA